CCACCAAACCAAACTCATTCCTCTATTCAACTATACAATGATTAGGGGTGAGCATGGTACGGTATTTAGCTTGTACCGATATCGTACCAAATATTTCGGTTCGGTATGGGATTTTACTCCGTACCGATCCCAATCCCGAAATATCGGTTCGGGATGGTTCGATATCGGTTTCGGTATAAATCGGGATGAATATACATACCTACCTTACACCTTAAAATTTAACAACGCCACTTTATTTTTGAACATTAAAAGTGAATTTAAATAAAAAAACATGAAAAATTAAAAAAATGAATACTTAAATGCAAGAGATGCGTATCAAAACTTAGTATATATTTTACAAACTAAAAAAATGAACGAAAACAAAGGAGTATTTTGAATCTTCGTAAATACTTTTATGTTCATACATAAAAACTAAAACTCAAATAAAAGTATAATTTCCACATAATAGAACTTGAACCAATTTTTTTAAAAAAAATTATTATTTAGTAAAGGGATATAAAAATATTACTCCGAAGTATTATTTTTTAATAATATTTTAGTATATATGTTCGGTTCGGGATTTTCGGTATGGGACGTCACCTCGTACCGTTCCCAAATACCGTAACGACCATTCGGTTCGGTACGGTTCGGTTCCTTCTCGATACTTTTTCGGTTCGGTATTTTTCGGTTCGGTATTCTCGGTTTTTTCGAGAAATTTTGGTATCGGTTCGGTACTTGCTCACACCTAACAATGATGACTAAAGTGAAGTACTCCTCCATTCCATATCTAACAATATACTCCCTCCGTCCATAAATAAAGTTCTTGTTGCGTGTTACGATATTGAATTGAATTTGTTTTTAAGTCATTTTGTATGAAAAAATAGTATGAAATTAAAAAAATAAAAATTACATTTTTAAAATCTACACGAAAGATCTACAAAATTAGAGGTGATATGATTATATTATTTTATCAAATAGGACACGAAAATAGGCCAACAAGGTGAATAAAGTTTGACCGAATAGTAAATAGGAACTTTATTGTTGGACAAAGGGAGTACAAAATCTAATCTCTTTTTTTAAATGGATTTTGGCATACAAATGTGTAAAATACAACATTTTGTAATATAACTTCCCTTGTCCAAGTCTAATGTTTTCATTTAACTTTTCAGTGTCTTTAATATTGATATTTATACATACATATATATTATAGAGTTTTAAAAGTTTCAGAACAATGTTTCAAAAAGAAAGTATTCATATTACAATTATATCGAAATACGATGTATTTTTTTCATAAATCAAGGTCAAAATTTACAAATTTGGATTAAGAAAAGTCAAATAAGAAAATTAAATCCAGACCGAGGGAGTAAATCAAAAGTTCTAAAATAACACAACGTGACATGACTATTTTAATTTATCAAAAAGTAAAAGAGAACCACTAATTTGGGAGAGAAGAAACAAGAAATTACTTCGGAGTACTCTCGATTTTTTGGTAATAACTCTCTCTCAAGTCCCACATTATTTGAAATATTCTCTATGGTACCTTCAACTTTCTCGTAAAAACTTTCAAATTCCACATTACTTGAAATATACTCCAGGATCCTTAATATTTGTGATATTATAGTCAGAGAATACATTCTGTCCATTTAGACGTTAGGACAAAAGTTTCTTTAATTTGACGAATTAAATGATTTTATTTAAATTGAATAAACTAATGATTATTAAAGTAAAATTTACTATTTGTCAATGCAATGGAACTTCCAATCCGAACAACCAAATAAAGCGAATGTAACATCAGAGTACATTACCACAAATTATATGGACCCCCAAAGTATATTTTGGATAATATGAGACCTGAAAACTATCCTCTTTTCTCACAGCTCAGGGTTTCGTCACTACTACTCACGACACTAGTCTTTTCATTAAGCACTCAGCTCATGGTACTATTATTCTCTTGCTCTATGTTGATGACATTGCTGTCACTGGATCCTCTGCTACTCTTATTCACACATTTATACAGAGCATGCATCATGAGTTTCAAATGAAGGATCTAGGCCCTTTAAAATACTTTTTGGATAGTCCAGCGTGATGGTGATTGCCTTCTCCTCTGTCAGTCCAAATATGCCGGCGAACTTGTTCATCGAGCTGGTGTTGATTCGGCCACACGGTGTGGCCCACACCTTCACCGACGCTGATCAATCCCAGCTCTTCTACAAATGGTGCCGATACTCCATTTCATAATCCTCGTCTTTTTCGTAGCCTCGTCGGTGGACTTCAATATCTCACCATCAGTCGTCCAAATATATAATTTGCGGTGAACTTTGTTGCTCAGAAAATGCATAGAGTTTGAGTACATATTTATAGAGTTTGGCCAATTCATGTTTGATTAAAATTTTTGTACGGTGGTATGATGAAAATACTATTCATTTTTCTGTATGAAGAAAATTTTAGGCCTTCATTAGAACTTATTTATTAATTCAATTTGATAAAAAGACTAAAATGTAATTTGAGAATATTTTAATTTATTTAATACTTTTTATATTTATAATTTATTAAATGATCGAAAACGAGCTTGTCTAGATCTTCTTGTTTCTAAATATTAGAAACCGGTCCGGCTTGTTTTTTCTAGAGGACCCACAACGGCCCGCTTGTATTTAAATACTTTGTACTCCCTCTGTCCCCAATTTGATTATAATTTTTTTTCTCTCATCTCGACAACTTTTGTTTGTTTACGCAATTTTATTAAGTATTTGATAAAATAAAATATTTTTGTCACCTCTTATTTTGTAGAATTTTTAACGTAGTTTTTTAATATGTAATTTTTATTTCTTATCTATATACTAATTTTAAATGATTTTAAAATGTGGGATATTTCTCCTCATAAACCCTAATTTGTAATCAAATTGGGGACGAGGAGTATAAAATTTTAGACTCCACCCTAACTTGCCAAATCGTGCGACTTGGTTTTGAGCCTCGGTTCTAGGCCTACTTTGCCCACCCCTAAATATCACTAATACTAAGAGAAAAGTGCACCGTTTACCCTCGAATTCTTTGAAAATTAAACAGTTTACCCCCGAACATTAAAAAGTGCACCAAATACCCTTAAATTTCAAAAATTGCACGCTTTACCCCTGAACAATAAAAATTGCACCAAATATCTCTAAACTCTTCGAAAATTGTATTATTTACTCCTGAACATTTAAATAAAGACGACAATTTTGGTGAAAGATACTTTTGAAAATTTACTAGGGTCGGATGAATCATATTCGCAATTGTTGTGCGTGGAAGCAACACACTCCCTATCTAATAGTTTATGACCAACGATGCAACAGTTTAATTTGTTCAAGGGTATTTGGTGCATTTTTTAGTATGCAGGGGTATTTGAGGAATTCGAAGGTAAAGGTGCAAATTTTATAGTTCAGAGATAAAACATGCAATTTCTAAAGAGCACGGGGTAAACAATGCACCCTACTCCTAATCTCCCCTAATAATAATTATATAAGCCTCAATAATGTTAAGCCTTGTCTTTTTTCGGTTAAATACCTGCCCGCCGTTAGGATTTCACGCCACATCGGTTGATAGTCTTTTCCTTGCCATTTAAGCACGTCCACACCTTGTACTGCAAATTTCAGTGTCACAATTGGCACTTACCCACAATCAAAAGGTTCTCCACTTTCGCAACTCAACAAAAAAAAATTGCTATTTGTACTCCAAGAATTTGTACCCCATTTTGTACATCGCAGTAATGAACCAACATTTTGTGTTGGTGCAATGCTAGTTTTTGTTAACGCACCAACACTTTGTGTCAGTGTAAATTTTTGTTAACGCACCAATACTTTGTGTAAGTGTGAACCATCAAAATGTTGATGCATACATTTGATGTACAAATAGGGTACAAATTTTGGGGTATATGTAGCATGCTCCAAAAATTAAAGCTTTTTGTTATTATCAGAGTATGATGGGTTTTACTTGGTATACTCTTACACGTCGTCATGCATGTATACGAGATTTTTTTTGCTCGAGCTATACATGTGAAAATTAATTTTTTAAAACGAGATGATGGTGGGGTTTGAACTCGTGACTTCTTCGTCAAAAAAAATTAGATATAATGTAAAGAAACTAACTTAAACAAAAGCTCAAAATTGTCTTTGTTGGCCCATGATAGATTTTATATACTCCATCAGATTCAGATGTAATTGATACTCTCTCTGCGCCACAAAACCTTTCTGATTTTAATTTTAAAGGATATAAGGGGAGTGTATTTAATTGTCTTATAGTTACTTGGAATCCAGTCTCTGTGGATGGCTTCTTCTTTTGGCTGACCTTTGCTTGTGATAGTTTGGTTAACTATGATTGTGGTAAGTTGGCAGATTGACGTATTACACCAACACTTATACTCTTATAATAAAAAAAGTGTGAAATTAATGTAATGTGGTGCTGACTTTGAATAAAGTACACTGATGATGTATTAAGGCTCTATTCTTTTCGTTTAAAATTTTAAAGTTGGATATTAGAAAAAGATAGAAGAAATTTGAAGAAACTAGAACAAAGGTAAAAGAAATTTGAATGAATTGAAAAAAAACTAGGAGTTAAAAATTGTTGGAAAAAATTAAAGTGGTTAAAAATTACGGTACTCAATTAAATGATCACCCAAACATGGATATAAAAAACAATTCAACTTTGTCCGTATTTGAGGTTGTATAATCATTATATGTAAATACGTTTTTTAAATTATTGAAAAAAACTGAAAGAAGTTGAGAAAAAAGGAAAGAAATTAGAAATAACTAGAATTAAAAAGGTCAAGAAGAGTATATATATACCCGCCACCGTTAAATGACCCAAATCCATATACATTCCTCATCAAAGGAAATAAGGAATCCAGGCCTTTTAGTTTATGTTCATTTTTTTTTTCGAAAGAAAATTTATGTTCATTGATTTCATGAGAAAAAAAAAAGTCAATTATAAATGTTGGGCACCAATCGTGCGTAGCGCGTCGCAGGCTAGTACTAATAATAGTTGTCAACCGCAATCGTTACCTTCTCCTCCTCTATTGAATGCAGCTTCATCCGCAGGAGAAGAATTGTCCTCCGCTCTTCTACTCCCCTTGCTCCAAGTACCTCAAATCAGACCGAAAGAGCCAGCATCAAGGCTGCAAATCGGTTCCAATCCTTGCTGCAAGTATATTAAGGCTTCAAGATCCATTCTTTTCCTATATACTGTTGATAGCTATTGATATCAAATCTGTGGGAGACTCAAATTTGTAGGTTTGATTTGGCTTGGTTGTGCTGATGGCAAGCAGTGATGGTCTGCTAGTTCGTCCACGATTTTATCAATTGAAGGTTCGATTTCTCAATTTTTAATTTCCTTCTAAATCTTCAGTAGATTTTTTTTTTTTAAACATGCTGTCTTTTCAAATGGCTGATCAATGTGACCAATGTCCATCTAGTTCTTTTGCTGCATTGAGTATATCTGATCAAAGCAGTGCCAATCTCATGTGTTTTTTTTTTTTAAAATTCGAACTGTTTTTGCATGTACACTTTGATTATTATTATTATTATTATTATTATTATTGTCTACTAATTTATTTTTATTTTTTTTGAAAGTTATTGTCTACTAATAGCCTTGCTGTGGAAACTAATTAGTAGTGAATTATATTGACTGATTAGCGATGCAACACAACTGGACTGGATGATCGCCTAAGTGCTTTGCCGGATGAAATTCTGCATCAAATATTGGCACGGTTGACTATAAAGGAGTTAGTAGCGACCAGCATCTTTTCAAAAAGATGGAAGCATTTATTCATATTGTGAACAAGGTTATAGAATGTTATGATGGTAAAAAATTGAATAAATTCAGGGTAGCCTACCCACTGGACGAAGATTCTAATTGTGATATCAATAATTGGATTGTGTTTGCAATTGCTAATGGGGTTTCTATGTTTGAACTAAACTTCATCGACATTAATTTAAGTACAAGACCTAATGGTTATTATTTGTCTGCTGACATCTTTCGTGGAGGAAAGATGATGGATAGAAAGCATATATGCAATCCATTGTTCATCAAGTCTATAAGTGTTGACAAGCACTATGAGTCTGTTACTGAGTTTCGTTTAACATGTGTGAACCTTTCTGATGAGGTTTTTGAGATCATGTTATCTAGGTGTTTGTCTCTTGAGAAATTCGTTTTGATGAACAATTATTCCTTAGTGAATGCGAGGAATTCAAATCCTCACCTGAAGCTGAGATGCTTGGAGCTCTACTTTTGTAAAGATCTAGAAAATGTTGAAATTGTTGGCCCAAATCTTTTATCATTCAAGTATCAAGGAGTAATGGCAAATATTTGCATTAAGGATTCCCAGGAGCTTCTTAATTTAAGGCTATCAACTGGTATTATTCGACTAGAGCCTACAGATTTTAACTATCCCGGGGGAAAAGACTTTTTTATTCGTCAATTTGCCAGTAATCTCTCAAAGCTGGAATCTTTGACTGTTCAAGTGAATATCTTTGAGGTAACTTGTCAGAACAAGGGAACATAGTTGATTTTATTCATGGATTTTATTGGCCCTCAATTAATAGATAACCTGATATTTGCAGGACATGAGTGCTTTTGCAAAACTCCCTGCATTTGCTAATCTCAAACAACTGGTGTTGGATGTTATGTCTTCAGCAGAGGTGCCACTTGGTTATGTTGCAGTTGTTTCTTTCATGAAGGCAGCTCCCAACTTGCAACAACTTGAGCTAAACGTATGTACTTATTTCACATGTCAATTTGCATTCCCTTAAGTATATGCACACACCTACATGCATCAAATGCATAACATGTCATACCTAAATGATCCCAGCATTAATTAGAAGTCTAGCTAGTTCTTTGGATGGTGATGAGCCTTCACTTGTTTAGAGTAGGCCTTATTTAAAAAACTGCTTCAGGTGTAATTGCTATTATATTTATCTTGGAGGAATGAATTTCTATATACCTTTGCATGTATAATGTATTACATTTTTACCTACCCAGATCCCCCAATATCCCATGTATTTAGTGCTTACACTAGTTGATTAGTTTTATATCATGTTGATGATATTCTTTCTTGCTTGAAGCTACAACGTACCAAACTTGGTGGTTACGAAAAAAGAGCACGAAAGTTATGTTCCATGTCGCCGCACCATAACCTTAAGGAGTTTAAGTTAATTGGTTTTCTTGGTGATGCAAATTGTGTCAAGTTTGTGACAAACTTTCTCAAGCATGCTGTAGCCCTACAAAAGATTGATATTACCATTGGCCTTGCGGTAAGAATTGGAGAGGACACCTTTCTAAATCGCCAACGTTTGTTCAATTCACGGAAGGCCAAAAGGTGTGAAAAGTCTCTACAGCAGCTCAGGGAAACACTGCCTTTGAATGTTCGATTTTCACTCCATGGCCAGTTCGCTTTGCTTTTGGCAGGTCAAATTTCATAAAATTTGACCATAAATATGTTCGGAGTATGTATTAAGAGGATTAGATTAAATTGTGATTTAATTTTATCTCCACCGGTACCATTACAGTTTTTTACGTATGTGTTTCCCAACATATTCTTTTTAACGTTTTTCTCTCGTCTTTCAAAAGCGATATGTATTTACCGTGTGGGCAGCAGTTTGGATACATTGGCTGGCTTGGAACTCTAGTTAGTAGATATGAATAATTCTACTCCGTATCTCACATTGACCCAGCACTTTGATTAGGGTCCGCAGGACTTATTTTTTTAACTTATTACTTATTCTTATTAAAATTAGATCAGATCAGATCAGACCTAATCAGATCAGATTCAATCAGATCAGACTCAATCAGACCAGATAAGATCCAATCATATCAGAACAGATCAGACTCAATCAGACCAGATCAGATCCAATCATATCAGAACAGATCTAATCAGATCAGATCCAATCAGATCAGACCAGATCCAATCAGATCAGACCAGACTAAATCCAATAATATCAAATCAAGAAAAAATATAAAAATAATATTTATATTTTTCAAGTATTAAATAATAATTACTATTATTTGATTAAAACATATTACCTTATTTAAAACTACACACACTAAAATCTTAATTAATATTATAATTTTAATTATTATTGTTCTTATATTATTATTATTATTACTATTATTATTATTATTATTATTATTATTATTACTACTACTACTACTAGTATTATTATTATTATTATTATTATTATTATTATATTTCAACTACAAACTTCTATTTTTAATCATTGCTTGGCTTGTATGATAGAAATGATGCATGGAAGCAATGTTAAAGCTATAAAGTTGTATTTTTCATACTTTAAAAAGAGTTATTTTAAAATACTTGTTTAATAAAATAATTATACAAAAACTTATTTTTGAAAACCATAAATATTTTATACTTAAAAAGACTTTTTTAAACTTTAAGATAATATAATATACACAAGGGTGAGTTTATGACAAAATTGATAGAAGTGAAAGGGATATTAGTGTTTAAAATTTTATATGATCTTTAATTTGTAACATGAAATATATTATTATGTAATACGCATATAGAATGTGATATTTTTGTAGAATAGCATCAATATTTTCTAATATTTGGTTATTTTAATACCGATTATTTAGTTTTCACAAAAATTAAAAAAGTTGTGATATTGAAATAATGTTTAATATTTTTTAATAAAAGTTCAAACATATCAATGATTAGTTGATTTTCTTATTTTACTTTTTTTATGTATATATGAGTTGTAATACTTTCAAACTATTAAATTTTGTAATAATTTTAAATTTAATTTAAATCAAATTTAAATTCATTTACACCAAATCTAATTAGATAAAATCAGATCAGATCATATTCAATCAGATCAGATCATATTCAATGAGATCTGATCAGACCCAATCAGATCAGATCAGACTCAATCAGATAAGATCAGACCCAATTAGATCAGATCAGACCCAATCAGATCAGATCAGACCCAATTAGATCAGATCAGATCCAATCAGATCAGATCAGACGCAATCAGATTAGATCAGATCAGAACTTCAAAAATTCAGATCAGACTCAATCAGATCAGGCCTACGGAACATAGCCTTAGTCGTAACCCTTTGGAGCATGGGTACGCTCATTGTGCCTTTCAATACGAAAATGATGCCCTTTATTGGATATTTTAAAAAATTGATATATTTAAACAATTTATACAAGTTGTGTAATTTCACATAAATTTCCATGTCTAAGTGATCTTCTTCGTTTTTGTTTTCATAATTTATACAAGTTTCAAGAAATTATGAAGTAAATTTTTAATACATACTTTTATTTTAGTATTTTAATTCTAATACTGTACATAATATTGCAAAATTATGACATTTTAATATACAGTTCATTGTCCATCCTGATGCCACGTCGAACTGGGATCGGGGAGGAAAACTCCCTGTGATTGTGATCTGCATCCCATCTCCGCCATACTATCCGGAAATAATTTTTTGTTTCTTAATTTCTATGTCAGTAATCAATTAATACTTGTAAAAAAGCATGGGAAAAGATCACCAAATTTCCATGACCATTGACCATGCATCGTATATGGAAATATTATGTTTGTTTATAATAGTAATAATAATAGTAACAACAACAACAATAATAATAGTATAATCATGTATGTAAATGCTACCATGCATAAAAATTAACATGCCTAAAATTTAACAATAATATTATTCATCATTATTTATGGAAATAATTGTGTTATGGAACAAGAATAATAGTCTTTATATATACGTTCCTTATAATTTATGGAAATAATAATAATAATAATAACAAGAATAATAATAATAATAATAATAATAATAATAATATAATATAGAAATAATAATATTATGGAAGGAAAATATAGTGGGTCGAAAATAATATGATATGCTTTATAAATCAAGTATGGTAATTTTACTTTAAAAATTTTATTTAAAAAAATTAAATAATAATATTATGGACGAAAAATATGATGAGACGAAAATAAAATTATTTTATGAGAATATAATATAAAGTTAGGTAATAATAATAATAATAATAATAATAATAATAATAACAATAATATATGATATCTTACCATACATAAAAATTACCATGCCTAAAATTTAATAATGTTTAGAAAATATAATGGGACGACCACTATTATTTAACCATACCTAAAACCTAATTATGTTTAAATTTACTATGGACTTCTTATTATTTATGAAAAGAATTTACTAGTAATAATAGTATTTATATATACGTTCATCATACATATAAGTTCATTATAATTCATGGAATTTACGGAACAAAAATATAGTGGGACAAAATAATATAATTTTATTTTTTTAAATTAAGTTTTGTAATTTTTCTTTAAAAACTTCTATTTTAAAAATAAATTTATATAATAATGTTATGGAACAAGAATATAATTGAAAGAAAATATAAAGGGACCAAAAAAATATTATTTTAAAAGAACATAAATATAAATTTGGGTAGTAATGCTTGAATGATCTTTTTGTATTACTATACATACATGCATGCATGCATACATACATACATACATACACACACACACACACAAAGACTATTATATGTTGCAGTTTCGAGAGTAACAAAACATAATGGTTTGAAGATTCATATATACAACAAAGAAATGTTCACACAAATTCTACGAGTAATGTAGTTTACCAACATTTTTCCAAAATTTGTAATTTATTTGATATTTATGCTTTAAAATAATGAAAAAACTTTATATTCTATCATATGATCGATTTCTAGGCTTCAATAATGACACCAATATAATTTCATAACGTACATAGGAGCCGTCCAACAGATGTATTTTTTAAAATTACGCCAGGACATCGCTATTGGAAACATTGATGTAGGTGTGACAACATCGTTGTTCTATAATAAATTTAAAAATTTATAACCTTTAAAACATTGATGTAGGTAACCAAACAACCTTGTTTTCAAAAGGTTTGGAAGAAAACTGAAACAAAGTAACTCCTTGAAACATTGATGTTTGATACGCAACATTGTTGTTGTGAACCAATCTGAGTAAGATTGGTTAGCATGGGATCTTCCAAACATCGTTGTTGCATGCTGAACATCACTGTTGAGAAATGACCTAGGTAAAATCTTTTTGGCTTAGTGTTTCTCAAACATTGCTGCTGGTTATGCTACTATACATCGTTGTTGCAACATCAATGTAGGTTTTGCAAAAACGTTGTTCCCCATATGTTTTTGCAGCATTTACCTGGGATGCTTGCAAAGAAAATGACTTTTGGTACCCAATGTTCTTTCTTTGGGTCTTTGTGGGTTAGTAAACAAAGAGGACAAAAATATATAATACTCACACACACACAATTATATAGATGTTTAAGTGTTACCTTGGCCAAAATATTTTCTTATGGTGGTGAATTCCAATATACCCAAACTGAGTGTATATATCTTGGTTTGGCTTGAGTAAGTTCTGGTAATGTTATATGAATCTTCTTCTTCTCATCATAATAAAAGAAATTATATTGTTTATTTGGTTAGTTTTCTTATGACAATGATTCTTGGAACGAATATCCTTTTTCAAAGGATTTCTTATTGTTAGTGGCATTCACGTGGTATGCTTTATTTCTGGTGTAATTCATATACCTAGTGAAGAATGTGGGAACTATATGTCCTACTTTATTTCAATGATGACATATAACATTTTGATTGTGTATTCTCCTAGGTTGATAATAATCATTTCTTGGTGATCTAAAATTTTCATGGGTTTTTTAGGGTCCTTTCTAGGTTGTCTAGTGGATATTTCTATATTGTCTATTATTCACATTATTATTCCTAGGATGAGCATTATGTTCACTAAGTTTTTGCTCATCGTTATCATTATTTATGTTTTCATCAAATCCTAGTCCATGTTTAACAAGATTAAGATATTTATGATGAGTATTGAATTTCTTCACTATTCCCTCAAGTTTCCCAACTTGTTCTTTTAAAGACTAACAAGATTCACACTCGTGTGTGGAACATTCGGGTTTGTCGGTGCTAATTTTTCCAAAAAATTTATTTTCTTCCTTAAGTTGTTCATTTTCTTTTGTCAATTTTTGAAATTCATTCTCCGGCTTAGAAAGACATTTCCTTAGAGTTTTGTTGGTTTTAGAATCCCCGTCAAACTCGTCATAAAGTTCTTGAAGTGCGTTTTGCATTTCTTCAAGAGTATAAGAATCGGTTAAAGAAGTGTTACATACCTCTTGGACATCTTCTTCGCGAGCCATGGGGCATAGATTAGCAGCTTCATCTTTGTCGTCATCTCTTGACTTGTCACTAGAGTCACCACCCAATGAGATATATGCCTTTTGGTGCCTCTTGAATGGTTTCCTCTTGGCTTTTGGACGTTTTGTCTTGACTTCTTCGCATCCATAGCATCTTGGAGTGTCGTCAGTTTTCTTATCTTGCTCTTTCCTTATAAGTTTGTGAAAATTTTTAATTATGAGCTTTAGCTCATCATCATCACTAGAGTCTTCCTACATTTGTTCACGTCCATGCTTGCTTTTAGGGCGGTCCCTTTTTTCTTGAGTCATCCAAAGACGGGTTAAGAATGGTAGATTCATAGGTTTTATGATTACCTCATTGACCTATTTTTATAACTTGTTAGAAAAGAGTCTTAACGCTAGAGGGGGGTGAATAGCGTTTGAAAAAAA